CGGCTGCCTGGAGAAACGGGGGTGGGAGTGGGGCAGCCCTGGGAGGAGCAGGCGCTGACTTCTGAAGCTAAGGGGTTTGTGATCTATCCAGGAATTAGCGGTTAGGCACAGAGCCTTCAGGAGGCCAAGCATGGCGTGCTGAAGAAGAGGTGTGTGGAGGCACAAAAACTGCGCATCAGGATGAGAGGCACCGTGGGGCGAGGAGGACCAAGGGCTTAGCCTCCCTTCTGGCTGTATCAGTTATCAGTTTGGGAGCTTGTGCCTTACCTCCTGTCTTACCGGCTCCCCACACCCCCCTTCCCATCAGCCCAGGCCGTGCACTCTTCTCTGGACCATTTAGCTAGTGCTTAGTGTTTTCCACTGAGTGGAAAACTTACCCAGGGCCACTCTCAGAACTCTTAAATGACAACCTAAAGGCGGCAGTGAGGCAAGGGACAGCTGCCACACTGCTGGGGGAACCCGAGGGGACTACGCTTTCTTTACTCTGTGGCCCCTGGGGCTGTGCTGCCAGCCAGACTAAATGTGTAAGTTTACTCCCGAGGGTTTCAGAGGGGAGTAGAGAACAGCTTTCAACTCATTTGTTTTCTATACAAAATAAAACAGAACTAGTGGTTGGGGAGTTAGAGATTGACTCTGAGGACCACCCACAGACATGTCTAAAGAGAGAATTCCTGAACTGGTACATCCAGGAAGAAAGAAAAAATAGGATGAGATCTAGAAAAACTGAGTACGCCAAGGAACAGAGAGGACAAGTAAGTGAATGGTTTACACAATATTTAAAGTCCACAGGATAAAGCTGTGAACTGATACATTCATGATTCATTTAAAAACTGCTCTAAAGATTTTTATACCTCAAAAATAAATTAGTGAGGTTTGCTTTTGTGTTTTATAATTTATTCTAGAGTTATGTATAATGTTCTAAATAGAAATTAAAAATTCCAACAACTTCAACTTTTCCTAATTCACTGTACTCATTATAAGGCTTTTTTTAAGGAGCATAAAATGTGAATATGTAATTTAAGTCAAATAAGCAAATGGATATATATTAAACCTATAACTTTTGCATATGTGAGTATACCAAAACACACACCATTAACTTATTAAACTTTTAAACTCATTACTGGCAATTTAATAAATTTATTGAATAAATGAATTAAGCAATGAGACTAACCAAAATTATATACTCAAATTTTAGTAGAGACATTTATGCATAAAATAAGCATTAAATCAAATCACAATATTAAAAAACATGCCTGTCTTGAATATTCTTTCAATGTAGGAGCTATGTCTTATGTGGATGATATTAAATTGCAAATGGATGTACTTTCTAAGAGCCCAGATCCAGCCCCCGAGACACACTGACAGCAAGACTCAAGTAGGAGGGAATCTGGGGGCATGTGGAGAATCTGGGTGTGTGTGGAGAATCTGGGGGTGTGTGGCTGGGAAAACCATGACCAAAATATATTGTGTCAAAAACTTTTAATATGAATATGGAAAAAGGCCAAGTAGACAAAATGATACAATTGTTGAGTACCATCAATAAAATCTTACTTTTATCCACCACTTGATCATGGTGGATGATTTTTCAGTATGCCAGTATGTTATTGAGTATTTTTACATCAATGTTCATGAGAGAGACTGGTCTGTAATTCTTTCTTAATTGAGTCTTTATGTGGTTTGGGTATTATATCACGGTAGTCACAGCTGTTTTTAACTCTATTCCCAGGGGATTTGATGCCCCCTTCTGGCTGCCAAGAGCATTGCATCCACATGGTACACATGCAAGCAAAAATCCATATACGGAATAAAAAAAAAAAAAATCCAGTTGATGGTGTTGGAGAGATGGCTCAGCAGTTAAGGGCACTGGGTGCTCTTTCAGGGATCATGAGTTCGATTCCCAGAACCCACATGGTGGCTCACAACCATCTGTAACTGGAGCCTCATGGGATCTGACGCCCCCTTCTGATGTGCAGGCAAACATTCAGACAAATCACTCAGGCATAAATAAATAAATCTCTTTATGGGAAAGAAATCTTACTTGTACAAAATAACATCTGGAAAACAAAGTTCAACCACCTGTCTGCAGTGTCTGGTCTAAGTGGAACATGTCTGTGAAATTCTGGGAAATTATCACAGCTATGAGAAGAAATGCAGGAAACATGCCATGCCTTTGACTTTTTCAGGAAACTCAATTTAAGGATGTTCAAGTTAGCTGAAATTATGACAAAAACCATGCAGGAATAATCTACATGGTGGCTTGATGGCATCGAAACTGAACGTTGAAATTTTTGGGACCCTAGAGAGCCTTTTACATTTGTACAATTGCTCATTGGAAAAGATGATTAGGTAGAAATAAAATTTTTAGGTGCAGAA